TGATTAAATTCAGTAACTTTTAACACTTACCGGATTTAGAGGTTTTCCCCAATGGGAACTTATTCTAATTCTAAAGAAAAACAAACTAATTATATGGGTCTTCCTGGAAAACTGAATTAGTACACCCAGTGAGCAAATAAATTTGTGTTCCTTGTCAGAGTAACAGTATAGTTAGAGTAACAACATGGAATCAATACAATCATCAAGATACAGAGAAACCAGCAAACACCAGCAATCCAAATGACTTCAATAAGTCAATGCAAAAACATGTGGTAAGGGAAGACTGGAAAACAACACGTTACTCCTTGCCCAAGATTTCTTTGCTTGTTTTCTTACACGAATTGTTTTTTTTTGGATGGTGGTCCACACAATCTCTGAAGATTTTCAAGCAAACCACAGTCCTAAAAACAGTATCCTTTTCTTAACCTGGAATAGCAGTGGACAGAACTGAAACAACCATTATCTGGCTTCCTTTACATATTTACATGGAAGTAGAAAAGCAGGGAACTTCCCTATCTTCTGACTGTATTGTTTTATGTAGTGGGTACTGATACATGCAAATAAAAATCTGCAAACCCAAAAAGTCAAAGATCAAATTCCAAAGAAAACCTTTTAGTTTGTTTATCATTTCTTGGAGCTATCACGCTACCCTAAAAATTTCACAAAGGATTAGAACTACATGGAGAACCCATATTTTTATTAACTGGTTGGGAAGAATGTGAGGAAGAGAAAAATAATTTAGTTTCTTGGTGGTTTTTAATCTTAAAAAAAATAAAAATCTTAAAACATCCTGTTGAAACAAAATAGCCCAGCCTTCAAAACAACTAGCCGTTTTGGGGCAAAACTATTTTGGATGCATTATCAAAATCAGCTGGTAGTTTCCATTGACTTGGTTTTTATCTATAGATTTGGCAAAAACCTATTCACTGAGAAAGTTTTGCCCACCCTATGGCTAAATACAGAGCAGTTTATCATGCTTCCCAGGATTTACAGCAAGCATGTGCATATGTGTGCTGGAAATTGCAGCATAAGTTGAGTGGCAAAACACTTTGCTGCCTTTTAGGTGCTGCATGACCCTTGGTTGTACTATAATTTCCCCCTGACTTGAGACCAGAAAACATTTTTCTATGTGTTTCTGTATTTTCAGACAGAATATAAGACTTTGCTTGAGGCCCTGAGTGAAAGAAGCAAAATTGCAGCCATCTGTTAAGTACTAGGGAGTATTTTCAAAATAGACATAAACGGTGTCCTAATCATAGTTCAACAGACTGCTTGCTTTTAAAATAGACTGTTTACTGAACATACTTTGGCCTGTAAGAACCTAGTATTACTGTCAAAAGTGCTGTGGAGGGCCAACTGCCACTGAAAATAGCTTTTATATGTATGCTTTTGCACACTTTCCTATCTAATCTTTTCACACGTTTTCTTTTAACTTAGTCTTTAGGATCTGTAAAGGGCTTTTTTCCTATTTTTGGTTGGTTTGGGTTTCTTTTTTCCTTTTTTTTTTTTTTTTTTAATGCAGGAGCTGGATTTTCCCCTGCACCATCACAACAAAAGACACAGCTTCTTTCTGTTTGCTATTTCAGTTAAAATTAGTAGTAGCTGTAGAGTATTCATTCTTAGTTGTACTGGATAATGTCACGGATACTCAAGATGTCTATTATGAGCTCTTGCCTATTAACTGAAGAGTTGTGGAATCCTTCACAAAAATGCTCTTATTCACCAGCCCTCAAAACACCTTAAAAAGTGAAATAAAACCAGTGTGGTTTATTTACTCTTCCATCACTGTTGCATTCCAGTGCCCTGTCTCATGATGCTGTCATTCACAAGCTTTCCAGTGGAGACTTGCCTTTGCTACAGTCTGTGGGAAAGGGTGTCAGCATGAGGTGTGGTTGATTTGGCAAAGGAAGTGACTCCACAGATAACTTTGTGTAAAAACTCTGCCTTTTTTCCATTGTAGTTTCCCACAGCTGCTCTCATTTGTGCGTGCTGGTACAAACAATGGGACTGCCAATTCCTGGCATTATAATGCCTGTCATTATACCTCTGTATTTCCTGTATGTTGGCATAATCAAGAAAGACATTGCTACTAATATTACGGCACCACAGCTAGCCAGAGAAATGCATGTTGCCTTAGATCTGCCAAAGAAACACTCACTCTGTTTCACAGAAGTGGAATCTCACTGACAACTTTTACAGGACGTCCTCATTTAGGTGCCTGATTTTACAAATCCCTATTACTAATTCTTTTTTGAAGTGGGATGTCTCCTTTTTGCTTTTCTTGCAACATCTAAAAAACAATAATGCAATAAATAACTGAAAACTAAATTCTATCCTATGGTATCATACTGACACCTATATAACTCTTCCGCAAGCACAGAAACTTACCATATGCACAGGCCCCTGTTGCTTGAGGAAATGAGTAATTATATGTACTGACAAGTATAGTGAGATCTGAGAACCTGCTCTGGAAAGCAGTGAAGATCTTTCCCTCTCTCCTGCAAGCCTGATCCTCTGTGTGCTGCCTCCTGCCTGACCTACCTTCAGTCTTTCCTCCCTCCCCCAGGGCTTCTCATCCTCATCTCACCCAACTAGTCCTGGCTTCCACTTCATTGCTTGAGGAAAGATTTTTCATATCTCCCACTGTGTCACTCACTCTGCTTCTTCAATTCTCATGTCACTTCTCCACTGCTCCCTACTCAAGTTTTTGTCCGTTTATCTCTCTCTCCACGCAGGCCAAGTCCTCCTGTGCCTTGTTTCTTCTTGTCTGCATCTCTCTTCTCCTCTTCCAGTTCTTGTTCCTTCTGCACCAGAATGGTTTCCCTTGGGATCCCAGCTTCCAAACCTGATGCAAAGCTGCATTTGTAGAGAATACCCAATTTTAGCTCCACGTTTCTGAGGCATACTCAGGATAGCTGTTGTATTTTGGCTGTGAAGCCACAGCAAGCCTTCATACAAATGCTTGTGTCAATAGACACATGCAAAGTCCTGTAACATTAAGAAATGTTTCCAGCTTTTGCAAGACCAGCCAAACCACGTCTTTGATGTAATTCTTCCTCCCAGTGCACCTCCACATACCAAATAATTGCACTGAAATATGAAATTATAACTGATTCTTACAGAAAAAAATATTAACTTGTAGGGGTTTTAATGTCATAAGGCACAGTTTTTTTTTTTATTTCAGTTCCATAACAGCAGGTTTAAGGTAATTGTGCAACAGCAAAAATTCATACCGACTCCAGTAACCAGCACAGGGACATCCAAACCAAACATGCCTGTTAAAATGAAGAATAACTGAAAATAGAATCTTGTAATTCTAATCCAGAGGATAGTGGACAAACATTAAAATCTCCATTTAGGAGATAATTCTGCTCTATTCTATAATCTGAATAGATTTTGACAGACTGGAAAGAGAATTGGAGTAATTTATGTTAAGATACACAGAAGGTGACAAAACTGAAAATACAAACTGAGACTCTACAGTGTCATATGTGTAAGAATTTGCAATTACCCAGCAGCAAAATGCAAGGACTTAGTTATAGCACTTTTTGTAATGTTTGTTCATGCAGGCTGTTAAGTATACTATGATGTGATTGTATTTCAGACTGTTGCCAACAGGACCCTGTGTATTTGCCCATCACTTATATTTTTACAATGGTAATATGATTGTAACAAAGAGTACTAGCAAATAACAGAAGCGTTACGACACTAATTTCCATATTACATACCTAGGGACAAGAAGACAAAGTGCCAGGTCCTGCACTTAGGTCACAACAACCCCAAGCAATGCTGCAGGTTTAGGAAAGAGTGGCTGGAAAGCTGCTCGGCAGAAAAGGACCTGGGGGTACTAAGTGACAGAGCTGAACATGAGCCAACTTGTGCCCGGGCAGCCAAGAAGGCCAACAGCATCCTGGCCTGTATCAGAAATAGCACAGCCAGCAGGGCCAGGGCAGTGATCATCTCCCTGTACTCAGCACTGGTGAGGCCGCACCTCGAATCCTGTGTTCAGTTCTGGGCTACTCACTACAAGAGAGACACTGAGGTGTTGGAGCGAGACCAGAGAAGGGCAACAAAGCTGGTGAAGGGTCTGGAGCACGAGTTTTATGAGGAACGTCTGAGGGAAATGGGGGTGTTTAGTTTGGAGAAGAGAAGGATCAGGGAGAACTTATTGCTCTCTACAATTACCTGAAAGAAGGATGGAGTGAGGAGGTGGCTGGTCTCTTTCCCAAGTAACAAGTGATGAGGTTGAGAGACTCAAACTGTGCAGGGGAGGTTTAGACTAGATATTAGGATAAATTTCTTCACAGAGAGGGTGATCAGGCATTGGAACAGGCTGCCCAGGGAAGTGATGGAATCACCGTCCCTGGATGTGTTCAAAAACCACAGATTATGCCCCTAGTGACATGGTTTAGTGGTGGTCTTGGCAGTCCTGGTGTAAAGGTTGAACTTGGTAATTTTAAATGTCTTTTCCAACCTAGCTGACCCTATAATTCTATGAAACCACATACACTATCCAAACCGGACTTCAAAAGGCAGTCTGCTGCAGGAAGCAGTTACAAAAGGTAGAGATTAATTCCTATTGCTCGGGGAGGGAGGGTGGGGAAGGCAGGCTTCAGCAGGGGAGCTGTTTCGCAACTCTTAGCTTCACACTTAAACTGTGGCAAAAAGGATCATGCGCGCTTAAAACTCAGACCGCTAGGGAAACACACAGAGAAAATGAAACGGAGATACAGCGAATGGCAAAGCAAGCACCCCCCTCGGCCGCAAAGGGAACCGGCTGTAACACCCACCACAGCCTCGGCTCCGCTCGGCTCCGCTCGGCTCGGCCGGGCCCAGCCCCACCCCCGGTGCCAGCGGCACCGCCCTCCCCTTGCGAGGCGGGGCGAGGCGGGGCGGGGCGGGGCGGTCACGGTCACCTCCCCCGTTGCCCTGCTCCCCCGCGTTGGCGGCAGCCGCTTAGCGGGTGCGCGCCCGGACACCGCCCCCCGGTGGGCGCGTCCTGGCGCCGGCGCCCGGCGGCCACGTTGACAGGGCGGGAACGGGGCCCAGCCGCGCATCGCGGGGAAGGTTGGGCGCGGGTAGCGGGGTCGCTGCCACAGTAAAATGTCTTCGCCTCCCAGAGAGAAAGCAGAGACGCGGGCCGGACACCCTCCTGCTGGTACGGCCGCCGGGTCCGTCTCTCCGCTCTTTCTCTTCCCATCCCTGGGGACGGGACGGGGGGGTCTGGGTAGCCGCGGGACAAGCGGGCCGAGTGCCTCCGGGAGCGTCCAGTCGGGCGCCGGTTCCCCGCCAAGTCCCGGGGCGGAGGAGGGTGAGTGAGGGCGCCCACTCCGCGCCGCCGCCGCTGCTGCTGGGGGTGTGAGCCCCGGGCAGTTTCCCCATCCTCCTCCGCTCGCAGGATCCGGCTGACTCGGCGTCTGGCACCGGGACGGGTGCGCGGGTACCCGCAGTGGCTGCCTGTCGCCCGCCCGCCCTCTCCCAGCTTCCCTGGCCCTCCAGCAACCGGTAATGGGGGCCACGGTCCCTGCCCTGCTTTTCCCAGGGGAGCCCTCATGTTGCTGGCAAACGCCCACCGAGTTTGTGCTGTTCGGCATCTCCGGCTTCTGACCCGGGAGACGAATAGCCTTGTCTTCATGGATCCTCCTCCGTGAGGGCATCCCGGCCCCGAGAGGCCTACGAAACCACCGCCGGCGGCTGATGCCGGCGGGAAGGAGAGGAGCAGTCTGGCGACATCGCCGCCTGCATGGCTGTTGGCAGCACAGAGCACGCCGAGCAGACACAGTGCGGATCAGTAGTAGTCCGTGCATCCCTTTTCCCCGTGAGCATTATGGGGCCAGTGCTGGAGCCAGTGCACGCTCCCGGCTTTAATTCTGGAGGCTGGCAGGGTAGGAAACGCATAAAGCGGTCAGCAAGCTGCCCTGCGAAAGAGGTCCAGTATCTTCTACCCACTGCTGTGAGTTTATGGGTAAGCCGAGCAGCGGGTGGTCTGTGGAGGAAGCTGGGGTTCTCCTTTGGTGGGGCGCTGCTCTGCCGGTGACTATACACAACAGTTCCTCTCTACTACACAGACGGGGTTCAGGTACTCGCATTACCAAGGTGTCTTGTACCTCCGTGGACTGTTAGCTTCTCCTCATTATTAGTTTTCTTAAAAAAAGGGAGCTTTGGTCACCATACCAGCAACTTTTCATGTGTCCTCAGTGTTTCCTGGTGCAGTTCTTGATTCTAAACCATGGGATGGTTAGTTTTATATTCAAATCAGTTGATGAGATTTAAAGCTAAATTTGAAAACAATTTTTGAACCCTAATCCAGTTATGTGGTTTTATTATGAGGACCTGAAATTCTTTTAAATAGGTAATAGAAGTGAGCAATGATGGCTTTGCTTTGAGGGGCAGATACAGTTCAGGGCTACAGTTAAGCTGATGTCGTGGCTGAGTAGGGTGATCCTACTTCTGCAGCCTCCCTTGTGACAGTAGCTCTTACCTGACCTGGTGAGCTGGCTCAGGGAACCAGACCAAAGCAACTTCCTCTGCATGAACAGCTTTTGCTGCCATAGCTCCTCGAGCTGGCTTGCCTTGAAGTGGGCTTCAGCATGAAAGGGTGGTTAAGAACTTGGGTTGGTATAGCTGTGTCTTCCTGACACACCTTCAGTGGGAAGGGAATGAAGGATAAGTGGCAGATATTTTCATTTAGATGCTTTGTAACTGTATTTTCTGATTCTGATTTTATGTTGCATGTTTGAGAGTTTTGCTTCAAAACCTGTCCTTTTAAAAAGCTGGGTTTCTTTTAGAGCTGAAGTGAGCCTCCATAGATCACAGGAGAAACCAGCAATGTACAATGCAAAAACACAACTGCAGTACAGTACAGATTTCCCTTGCTTTCAGAGTTATTTCAGCATTTTATTTTTTTTCTTTGTAAAACATGCATCCACATATGAACTGAAGAACTTTTGCAGCCATGTGCTGTTAAAGATCATTACCATCCCTGAAGGTTTTTTTGTATGTAACCAGTTCAGCTTTGGAAGGAAGGTAATACCCAAGTCTATCTTTGAGGCCAGAAAAAACCTAATACTTTACATTATCTTCAGATTGTTTCTGGAAGAAGATGGTTCTGAGCTGGTTGGCAGAGGAAGCTGGCCTTGTGGTCTTCTAACATTAGGAATATCCACAATAAATGTGCTGACTAGCTTCAGTTTATATTTACTGTAGGGGCTGAAGCTAGGTGTTACTCCTCCATCTCAAACTGGTTTAGATCCCTGAGCAACAGTGTAATGCAGTAGGGCAGTGTGCAAACAAATTTTAATAAAATGAAAGTCAAACATTCTTAAATAAAAGATCACTACATAAACTCATGTGGAATTGTGTTCCTAAATAACAAGGCAAGTTCCTAGCAAGGCAAATATGTGAATAGGGGATCATTTTCTGACTAATGGCTTAAAAGCTCTGGTTTTGCTGCATACAGTTGTATAAAGAACCCTACCAGTAATTATGGATGTGTCTTACTCCACAGAGTATGAATTAGACACATAAAATTTAGGAAGGATTCAAGTAATCAAATTACAGCAGAATTGTCAAATTTGTTGTTTTTCATATGCACTGTTAGCCCTCCCTTACTCAACTGTGTGCAGTCTGTTAGCTTCCTCTCTGCACTGATCTTTTGGGGGGGATGAGGGGCAGGAAAGACAAGAACAGCACTTGGAAAGACAAAGGATAATGAAATGGAGAGAAACCTCGAGACCTCAGGCTGATAATAGGGTGCATGAAGCGATTTTGAACTCCATTCTGAAACGTAAGAGGGCCCCAACTTAAGCTTTAAGTATCCATCTGTCAGTGAGATCAATGCATCTGTAATAGATTGCTGAGTAGGTTTGTGCAGCTTGCAGTCCCTCTAAAGCAGTCTGCGTAATTATGCTTTTAGCTGTTCATTTCTTCTAGTAGATATTGTGGAGGAATAAAGCAAGGTGATTGTGGTAATAGTTTATTTATGAAGCTTTGCAATTGGTTTTTGAAAATAGTTATGTGCTTTTTCCTGCATTTAAAAAATATAACTCTGAGCCAAGATTTCTGTGAAATGAAGGTATGTAATAGCTCTTACTTCCATTCTTCATACGTCTTATTGATGTAATGGAATCTGTTATTATACTGTACGTATGAAATAAATTTGGTATTAATATTTAATACTATACTTAAGGAAAAGGGGAAGCTGCTATAGCTCTTGATTATACTCTGGATTTCTAAAAACCCCTGTCTTATTGCTGTGACCAGGGGGTGATGTGGGTTGAGCTGGAAGGTTTCTCCAGAAAGGACTGCCTCAGGTCTGCAACCTGGGTGAGTGAGCTGTGGCACTTCTCTAGGTGCTTGGTGCTTGCTTGAGCTCCTTGGAGTTTATTTCAGAATTCAGTCCCAGAAACTGGGAGCAGTTTGAAAGAATTGTGGAAGTGGGGTGAGGGGAAAGGAGAGGTGATAAATAGACTGAGAATGTTTCCTGATTCCAGATTGTCTTGAGTGGTAATTGATTTACAGAGTTTAATGCATTTCAAAAGGAGTAGTCATAACCTTAAGAGGAACACATGCTGGCATTCACAGGACAAACAAGACAGTCCTGTCTGCCTCTCAGGGGGAAAACATGACAGATAATAATTAATATCCAAAACTTGGCTGTTACCTAGCGGCGGGACAAACAGACCTGTGTGGCACTCTTCTTGGAGTGTGCTGGCAGGTAATCCCCTCTATTTCATGCTTTAGAGGCTGGTGGCCTGTTGGCCATCACCACCACAGCCATTCCTGGTCCCCTCCTGCCTTAGCACAGATCCCGCCTGACCTCTCCTGAGCAAACATATGCAGCTCGAGCTCCTTCGTCAGCTGGGAACTGCTTTCTTCCTAATCCCAACACGGTGTCACTGGGACCCTCCTCTTCTGTGCACTTATATTTGGCAGTATTCTGGAAGGTACTTTATCAGTTATTTAAATCCTCTCTGCACTGTGCTGGATTTACTATGAGGAAATCAGAGGTCTTGCTCTTTCAAGGGTGACTTCTAAGTGACAAAATCACGGTCCTAAGCATCTGTCAAATTATGTGGTGAATGCTAGGTGAGTAAGAAGTAGATGAATCCTTGTAAATCCCAAGAGAATCTTGCAAATGGAGTGGGTCTTTCTTTTGTTTGGTGGATGTAATAATTATTTCTTCTCCCTGTCTAACCCTGAGATAGTGTAGTCTGGTTGAGACCTTTTGAAAAGGAATGTGAATTATGTTGCAAAGGTATTTATCTTAAGCTAAACCTCTTGGAAATAGATTGGGTATGAGCATGCTGTGTCAGGGGTGGCAGAGATGTACATCACCTCTATGTACAGCATGCTCATCTAATTACTTCACTTTTGGTCTCAGAAATACTATTACTACAGTTGTTTGCTGGATTCTTCTTTTGGTCTCCCAGATCTGCACAGTAACCCTGGACTGTGCACAGTAACCCTGGACTTATTCAATTGTTCAACAACAGACTTTTAGCTGTCTGTATTATGCCTGTTAACATTAGTGCAGGAAATCAGATTATTAAAATTATTAAACTACTGCCTTGGTCAGTCACTGCTGTGCCTTTTAATTGTCTGTTTATTTGCTTTTTAATGCCTGTTAATTCTACATGCAGACAGATCTGAATGTGTTAGCTGCATATCTTTGCTAATAACAGATAAAGTGCAAATAAGTGGCTGGTGGCCTGATAGTATGCAATATGAGGGGAGAGAGATTTTAGACCACCTAAATTAGCACTGAATTTCTGGGTACTGTTTTCTGTTGGACAGTGAAGAATGTTAAGGTGTGCATGTATATACCAGAAGTGCTGTTGTAACCAGGCAGATGTTGCTGTGGAGACAGCATCTTCTGCAAAAAGTAATTTGAAAGGGAACTAGTAAGAACCGATTGTGCAATGTTAAATTTATAAAGCAATGTAAACCAAACATACCAATCACTTTGATTACCTGAGATGTTAGAAGAAGGCAGCACTTGACAGAACTAGGAGTGTTTGCATTTGCAAATAAATTTCTAAGGACTTTACATCAAGAAAAGTTAATAGGAATTTCACTTTTGTTTAATTTTTAAAATTACATTTCTTTGTTGCCTAACCTTTCTGGTTTTCCTTGTCTCATGTGAAACATTTCTCACCAACTTAAATCTTGTAAGTTTTATGCTGGAGAGAGGACATAATGGTTAGTGTTTTGATGGGGTTTTTGTGTGTGTGTGTGTGTGTTTGGTTCTTTTTTAATGCATTATAAGGGCACACAGGTTTTGATAGGTTTAAAAAGATACTTTGGTTTTGTCTGTTGATTATGTGCCTTTAGTTAATGTCCTTTATTGAATCAGAAGTTTATCTTTCAAATACCACATAGAGTTTAGAATCCATCTAAAATATCCCAGAGCCAAAGGCCTGTCACAGTCTCTGTCCTGGGGCAGGTTGCTTTCTCTTTGCTGCCTGACTTCACCCAGGCTGTAAAATTAATGCACAGAAGTGTCTTTTCCAGTGCTGTCCTGTTTAAGAACTGGGAGCTAAACCTGGTTTTAGATTTCAGGGGTTAGCACTGGACTGCTGTGAGGTGCTTTAATCGTTCTGAGACTGGACACAGGAGAGCTGTCAGAAGTACAGCTGCCCCTCGCCATGCTGGCAAGCCACTTCGGCTCCTTCCAACTGCTGCTCTGGCATCCTGCTTGCTCCGGCTGCTGCAACTCTGCTGAGGCTGTCCACAGACTTACTGTGTCACAACAATGTGTAACATACACCAGTGTGTTTGTAGGTGGTTTTACTGACTCCTGACCACAATAGCGGTTTTCTGATATTGTTACTGGTGGCTGTGTAACCCATTGAATTAGCTAACAAGTTGTATCGTCTTACCCTTGGCTGCCCTGTGTGTATAGCAATGATTGAAACAACAAAAAAAATAAAAATCCCAACAAACCAACCCATACAAACACAATATTAAAACAGAGGGCAGATCAACAGCAGATGGCCTGTTGCTCTGCAGTTTTAGGTCTGGTTAGGTTGCTGGTTTATATTTCACTTTGGAGGGGATAAATCATGAACACAAATGGATTTGCTTTTGGTGCTCATTTTTTGTTTCAAAGCAATTCTTTCAATTTTGTGCCATTTCTAAAACTGAATCATGACAAGGATTTGAAATGTGGTAAATGCTTATGTTTTGCAAAACAAAAAGCTCTGTTCTAAAGGGTTAACAGTTGTCCTAAATTTTGCTTTTTATTATACTGCTTGTGAAGTACTTCTTCGTATAAATAGTATTATTATAGTTGTTGTTTTTAACTTGAAAAGACAGAGTAAGGTTCTTCAACCCTTCTTGTTTTATGGGAGTATTTAACATTGATGTTCATGGACTTCTGCATAGTGTTACGCGAACCATCACCTTGGTTTGTTCTTCTGACTGCTGCAAGTTATTAAGGGTGGGAGGAAAGCTGAGTTTTCTAAAATAGTTTTGGAAGCAGGTGGTAAAATGAACTGCAGCTTCTCAGGATGAGCAGAGATGGATGGCATGATGTGATAAAGAATGGCAGATGTGGTCTTGGACTAGCTGTTCCTCAGGCTTGCCACTTTTAAATGCTTCAGACCACTTTTTGTAACTGTGATTACTATTACCCTACTTGGCAAAGTTTTAGGGGAGAAGGGAGGCTTATCCTTAAAACATTTTTCACTTATGCTGATCTGACTGAGTTTCGTTCTGTCTCTTTAATTTTTGTTCCAGTGAAGGCTGGTGGGATGCGTATTGTTCAGAAACACCTGCACAATTCTGATGCCAAAGAAGAAAAAGATAAGGATGACCAAGACTGGGAAACCAGCAGGTGAGCACTTTGGTTTGGGGCATGTGCTACAGTGAATTTCCGTGACCTTGAACCTTGTCACCATTTGGTCAAACCGGTTGGTTTTGTATCATAAAATCGATTTAAAGCAGTAAGAAGTTACATGCTCTTTCAAGAGAATTGGGGAATTTGGGAATTTTTACCTTGCTGAGCCTCCTTTAAATGACCTTACCAGGTAAGTGAAGGTTAGGAAAAAAGTACAGTTAAAGAAAAACATCAACTTTCCTAAAATCTATGCATACTGCTTCAGACTGTGCAGACATACAGAGAGTAGGCATATTTGGACACAAGCATTAGGCTGTCAATCTGTGTATGAAGGTGATCTTGCTGTGGGATAGATGATTCCTTGTACCCTTTGGCCCATACTTTTTTTCTCTGTGAGGTATTTGACAATGTGGTGCTTTTAAAAGACAAGTAAAAAAATCAGTGGTATTAATATCTGCTTTTATTTTAGGTAGGAATACAGCAGTTTCAGTGGTGGAGCATACAAGACAAACAGCAGTTACCTAGATCTATTTTTAACTAGATCTATCCAGTAATTGCTGTGTAGAATTGAAAGCAGGGAGGTTCAATGAACTGTTGCTGTATTTCTGTTCATACAAAGACGCCTGGTTTTGTGCTGCTTTTTCTTGTAACCAAGACTATATTTGCCCAAGATCTTTGTGTACTAGCTTATTGCATGGGTTTGTCCTTGCTATTTGCTCAAGGTAAAAAAACAAACAAACAAACATTCTTGTGCTTTGAGAAGTAGCCTGACTTACATGATGTTTATTTTGCATGTAAAACAATGGTAATAAATAAGCATTGTGAAAATGTCTGTATAAATAAGAACAACCATGTCTATTCACTAACTCACAACTTGAAAGGAAACACCTTCATGAGAAGGGAAAAATAATTTTAATCAATATAGCCAAATGAAAGGCAGGAAGATGAACTTTATGCCATTTCTTCCTTAACCGAGTTGGTCATCTTGTATTTCGGTTCAGTGGCACAGAACAGAGTCTGTACTGCAATGAGTTTTGTCCAAAGGAAGGAATCATATCTTGTGGTTAATTTAAACTGTGCTTGGGGGTACATTCTTTTATTTGAGGTGTGTTTGAGTTGGCTTTGGCTGGTTGCCAGGTCCTCACCAAGCTGCTCTGTCACTCCCCTCCTTAGCAGGACAGGGTGGGGAGAAAATAGGGTGGAAAAAACCTGTGGGTCAAGTTAAAGGCAGTTTAATAAAGAAAAACCAAAGACTATGCATGGAAGCAAAGGAACACAGAAGACAAGTACTCTATTTCCCATCAGTAGGTGATGTCCAGTATGTGTAGTGGGTGGTTCAGAAGACAAACATTGTAATAACAAATGCCCTCCCTCTCTTTTCTCTTTGCTTTTGTTGCTGATCAGATGTCATATGCAGTGGAATATCCTTTTGGTCAGTTTTGGTCAGCCGTCCTGGCTATATCACCTCTCAAGATCTTGCCTACTGCCAGCTTACTGATGAGGGGGAAACGTTGGAGAGACAGCCTTGATGCTGTGCAAGCACTGCTCAGCAGTAGCCGAAACACCTGGTGTGTTACCCACACCTTTCTAGCTAGCAATACCAAGGACAGCACTGTGAGGGCGGCTGTGGGGAAAATTAACTTCATCTCAGCCAGACCCAGTGCAGTGTTATATACCTGTTTATTATTACATTTCCTCAACCTCATGGTGAGGGAATCTCATTAGGATTATTGACAGGACTTCTTATGCCCGTTCACAGATCTACACCTCTGCTCCAGTATAGCTATCTGCTTTATAAAGGATTCTTCAAACACGATTTTAATTCCCCATGCCTCTCACTGAAATAGCATAAGGAAAAGTTAATTTTTAACCTTGATATTTGTGGCTGTGTCTGCTTTAGCAGGTGCTGTGTCACAATAGAAGAAGATTGGCAGGGAGAAACAGGCAGTGCTGGGTACTTCATGTTCGCACTGTGTGTTTTGGAGATTATTTAGTCTGGTCCTCTGGACTGAAGGTCCAGTCCTAGCTGGCATGTGTGAGGTGTTTCTTTGGACTGTCTGTTCCATTTCAGTGTTATCTTCAGGGAGTCCAGGTCAGCTGCCCTGAGACTAATCCACAAGCAAAGCAAAGCCTCTCCAGTTGAAGGATCAGGAGGAGTGCAGTCCTTATCCTGAGATGCTAACAAATACACACTGTATATTAATATTGTAAAGCAGGTCTGTGAGCAACGTTTATGGTTTAAAGGTAGAGGAGGAGGTTTAATGAACTCGACAGCTACTGTATTAACTAGGGAGCAGTTGGCTGTTGCACCCCATAAAATACACTCCTTCAGCCACCTGATCAGTTTATTTCCAAAATATGCACTCGGAGCGTGCTCTTCACCTTGGTTTTCTTGTAGAGGATGCGTTATTAGTCTGTATTAGGCACTTGTGTATTCATTCAGTTGTTCTTTGTATATTAATGCAGAAAAGATTGGTCTGAACTTCTTACTTCCTTGATTTAATCCTTTTGAGACAGAAAGCGTCAGAATTGACAAAAGGAGCATAGTTAGATGGGAACCAGCGTGAATTATAAAACAAAACTATGAGTTGGTTTACAAGTCTGAGACAAGTTGTTTTCCTGGTAGAACTGGGAAACCTTTGTTTCTGTGAGGGAGAAGGTTTGATGTGCCTGTTGTAGGCTCCTGTGGGAATGCTTGTACAGCTCCGGTGGCTGTACAAGCTATAGATGTGAACAAGAAGTTATTTAGCCTTAGACAGAATAGGCAAACTCCACAGGCCATAGTACTTGAAGTTGTTGTTTGTCAAAATTAAATTACGTTTGCAGCATGTCAGCTGCTTTTGTGCAGGAAGGTGCAGTCCCCTGGAGTTTCTCTGTCTGCTCCTGCTGATTCACAGTGCCCTTCTGAAACACTTGGATGTCTGATGCCTGTAGAGGGAGGTTTTTCAAGAGATAGGAACAGGTTTATCAGGAGGGGGAGAAGAAACCACTAGAATTCTACTCTGCTTCCTCTGTTACCAATATATATGTACCTTTTGGTCTTTGCTAGTTGGTATTTTATGTCCCTTTGGAAAGGAGGTTCAGAGACATCTGTGTGTTTAACTTTCTAGTCTGGTGTTTTTAGTCTTTGCCATTTTAAGATAGTATCATTGGTATGATGCAATCTCCTTATTGCATTCAAAGTCAGAAGAAGTAAACAGCCCTTCAGGCAACTGGTATTGGGTGATACAGGCAGCTGACAGTGACGTGAGACAAAATAACAAAACAGAGAAGAGTAATTTGTGTGTGAAGAGGGAGGCTAGGATGATTGATTGTTTTAATCTCATTTTAGGTTTAGATGAGCACAGATTAGTGGAATTGGGAGTAAATCAAGGCAGAAGATTTTGAGCTTTCCCAGAGTTCCCTGGGAGATCTGAGGGCACGTGGCCTCCCCATGATGGCACAGATCTGAGCAGCTGCTCAGCAAGAAGGCTTTCAGCTAATGTTCACGGAAGTATGTGTGGCTTTGGAGACAGTTGACTTTGTTTTTGCATCATGCTTGCAGAAAAAGATGTTGGGTCAATGTTTCTAGTCTCAATGTAAACAAAGCTGATACAGGTAAACACCTCTACAGTAGCTAATTGCTGTGATAAAGGTGACTTTAACATTCACCAGGTATATCATCTTTGACATTTCTCAGTTGTTTAGCAACCTGCAATCTAGTTACTGTAATTTACTCTGCAAAGTATTTTATTTAGTTCTGTTTCCTAAAATAAAATTGTTGTGACAGCATACGTTTTCATGAAATGGTAGGCTGAGTTGTTATAATGGTCATTTGTGATCCCGTAAAACAATATGGGGTAAGATGATGTTATACAAATTTAAACTTTGCCTGCGAGGCAGTGCATGGCCTTAAGTGGTATTGGAAATACTTCTATAAGTCTGGTGTAAATATAGTTTTACTTAAAGACGAATGGCTGAAAAGGATTCTATGGAGAAGACTCAATGAAAGAAGGGAGGGTTCCATCATTTGGTTTAGGTGAACTAAAAAAAATTTGTGTGTCATCCCAAGCCAGTGGCAGCACTGTGGTCAAGATGTCAGGGGCAAACTTGACTGTGAGGTGGGGTCCTTAGCCCACATGTTCTTCAAGACGAGAGATTTTGATATCTCCAACCTAGCTGGAGATAGTATACAAGCTGGATGAGCTTCTGGTCTGTTACTGATTTTCTTAATGTTTCTGTAATTGCTTAACACTTGAGTTGATTTGGGTATTGGATATGGCTGCAGTTTTGGTTGATTGACAGTCACACTGATTGCTGCTGGAAGTGCCTTTTTTTTTCTTTGTGATGATAGATGAAGGTGAAATGTAGAGGAAGGATTATGAATAGAAACTGTAGTTTTCCAGGGCTGTATGTTGTTATAGAAAATATTTTGAATAAGTAGGCTATCCATAGTCCTGGGCTTATTAGAAGCCCATTAATGCACGTTTAACTGCGATTTGTAATAGCATGTGCACTCCTGGTGCCAGCATCTGACTCTAGCCATAATAAATACTCCTGAAAGACACATAATTTGAAGTGAGAGCTGCTTGTTCAGTTTTGCACAAAAGCTTTATTAATTGTCTCTCTGGGACCCCTAGAAGAAGAAACTGTAATTATGTATCAGCATCTGGATTTTAAGGAAAATATTTAAGGCAAATATATGACTCATTCTGCCTTTTAACAAACAGGGTAAACTGCAGAGGCTTTCATGTCTAAAGACTCTTTCCCTCTCCTTTGTTGTATTTCTGAAACAAAGTGGGTAATTACAGTTACTTAATTCCTGAATATAAATGCAGTAGAGTGGTTTCTCAGTATACATATGTAAATTACGTGTTTTATAACTTAAACTTACCTGGGGATTGTGAATCCAGCATAATGTCTGCCTTTCCATTAGCTCTAGAAAGAATAAATTATGTAGCCTGGATTTTAATTCAGTTAAGGGTGTGGATTTTGGCCTCAGACATATTCATTGGGTA